TGGATGTGTGTGTGGAGGACTGAAGTCCTGGATGTGTGTGGAGGACTGAAGTCCTGGATGTGTGTGGAGGACTGAAGTCCTGGATGTGTGTGGAGGACTGAAGTCCTGGATGTGTGTGTGGAGGACTGAAGTCCTGGATGTGTGTGTGGAGGACTGAAGTCCTGGATGTGTGTGGAGGACTGAAGTCCTGGATGTGTGTGGAGGACTGAAGTCCTGGGTGCTGCTCACGTCCTGTCAGATAATCTCAAAACCTGCAGAAACAGAAAACAGGCTGTAAAACACTGAGCACTTCACATTCCATGCCTCTTGTTTTGTGTCAAACTTAAAACAACACACAAATGTTAAACCTTGTATAAATCTGAACAAAGGTGTTACTTTGTAGTTCTAAGCAGTTTTCAGGAACAGGCACCAGCTCAGTCATGGGACCCGTCTATTTGCTGAAACACAATTCGCAGATGTAACGGATCTTTTTCTTTAACGACACGACTCATTTATTTACTGTCCAGGAATTATGGACAAAGCGATTGTCAAAGAATGAAAAATACGGGCGAAATAAAATAATTTAGAGTAACTTTGTTTCTGTTCCCGGTTGAACCGCCGTTAGCTTCGGCTGCTAACGGCTAAAACTGGAGTCTCTTAAAAACATTATACAATTATATGTAAATATATTTATATATGTACATAAGCAGTACAAGCCCCCTATGTTGCACCGGTTTAATGTATGAAAAGTGTCTCGTTTCTGACGAGAGGGAGAAAAGAAGCAGCCTGAGAGCGCCACGGCTCCACCGCCGTGTCCAGGCCTCAGGTCTGACGCTGCTAACGGACCCCAGATCAGATTAGCTGCTCACGTTGACGGAGAGCCCGGCTGGCTCACCGAGCCCAGATCAGAGGAGGCCTCCCCGCAGCTGCTAGCACAAAACGAGCCTCCTGCGGACGAGCCGCTCCACGTCGATAAAAACCACCATTTAGCTCCTGAACTGCACCGCTACTTACCCGCGAGGATTACCGACACTTGCCGCTGTCGCATCCGATCTGGCTCGACCACCGAGGCTAGTTTGTGGACTTATTGCACCGGGGGGTGGAGGGGATGTGGCGGATAGCACCGGACGCCATCCTCCAGCAGACTAACACCGGAAGCCGCCACGCAGCGACCTGCTGCCAGTAAGACCGAGCAGCTAGAGCCGCTGCATGCTGGAGGAGGACCGGGGAGCACAAGGCGAGCCCCGGCGGACACAAACTGCTCGGACAGCGGCTTCCAACAGCTTCAGGAGACACAAAGAGCCGCGGAGCAGCACCGTGTAGTTCTGCTTGTGACCAGCAGGGGGCGGTGTTTCTCAAGGCCAACACAAAGATTTGTGTCACCAAGTGCATTGTTTATACTAAATAAACTCAGTCTTGTTTTTAATGATGGAACAAAGGTTTTTAGAGCAACTGGAACATTCTCAATGTATTTTTAGTAAAGGTCATCGTCAGTCCCTAAACCCTTTTCCATAGCTCCTCTTCAGCACGACTCGACGGTTCGGCTTCCGAGCTGTTGGACGTCGGCAGCATCTGCAATGTGCAAGGCCGGATCTACCATACGGGCAATCTGGGCACGTGCCCAGGGGCCCTTGGCAAAGGGGGCCCTCTGCCGACAGAATTGTTTTTGCTGCAACAAACCGGGGCGCTCTGACTCCACTCGTTCGTGCGATACAGCCTGTGAGGGAGGATGAAGCTGCTCACAATAACTGTCGCCACGGGGCAGTCAAGTTCTGGTTTTCAAATTAAAACACAAAACCTGATCAAATTCACGTATCTCACCTTGTTCCTGGTGCCTTTACTGTAGAAATGTTTCTGCAATAACTTCCGCTCCGACACTGGAAGTATCAGTACCACGTTTTTTTTGTAAGTTATTTGTATTCAGTTTATCAGTGCTAACGTTGTTTTTGTTTGAACGTGAAGTTTACTAAAATGTCCTACCGGGGTTCAGGAACCTGCTGTTCGCGGCTGCACGAACAACCAGACCAAGCCAAGGCTACAGCAAACAGTTCTGAACACGGACCCATGAAGAAACCACTCAAAACGCTGTTTCTGTGCTCATTGGAAAACAAACGGCCAACGCACTGAGTTTAACTTAAAAAGGTAAAAACATTACATTTACAATTTTATAAGTGCTGTCTAAGATACATTTGAAAAGCAAAAAGATGCACAAGAGTCCAGTTAATTTGGCTTCAAGTGTTCACACGGTGCTAAACGAACCTGTAAAACAAATACAGCCACAAGTTGAGATAACATGCATTTCTTGTATCAGGCCCTAATTAGAGTCCAGCCTCATCCAGGACTTCATCATTCGACGTTCACATCAATTTAATCAAAAAGCTCAAGGACTTAAATATACATTTGATGAGTAAACGTTTTTCGATTTTTAACTAAAATTAACTCATAAAAACTGCAAAACTAAGAGTTTTTTTAAATTACAAATGTCTTAAAATTAAACGTGAAACTAGACAAAGGATTCTGACAGATTGTATTATCTTCAGCTTCAGTGTTTTATAATGTCCTCTGTGTGTGTGTGTGTGTGTGTGTGTGTGTGTGTGTGTGTGTGTG